CAGTAAGTAGTCTAAACACTGGATTTGTTCAAGGATCTCCATATTTGATTATGGTTCATGTCTACTGTAGGTATAGTTTATGCAGGTAGATACCATCAAGATCAATATCTTTCTCATGCATTCTACTAGAGTATCCATGAAGTTTTTCTGTCAAGAAAAACTTAACCTTAATATATATATGTATACATACATACACACACACACACACACACACACACATATATATAATATAGATAAATATAAATATATATAAATAAATACATAACTCCATGAGAGAGATGAGATGATAGTCATTAAGTTGTGTCCGACTCTTGCAACCCCATGGACTGTAGCCTGCCAGGCTCTTCAGTCCATGGGATTCTCCAGGCAAGAATACTGGAGTGGGTTGCCATTTCCTTCTCAAGGGGATCTTCCCAACCCAGGAATCAAACGTGGATCTCCTGCATTGCAGGCAGATTCTCTACCAACTGAGCCATGAGGGGAGCCCATATAAATCCATATCCACATGCAAAAGAATGAAGTTGGACAATACTCCAAGTAGATCATGGGCCTAAATGTTAACTATAAGACTCTTAGAAGAAAACATGATTAAATCTTCATGACCTTGGTTAAGCAAAGATTTTTAGATACAACATTAAAAGTATAAACAACAAAAGAAAAAATAGGTAAGTTGAACTTCATCAAAATTAAAAACATTCATGCTTCAAAAGATACCATCAAGTGAGTGAAAAAACAACTCATAGAATAGGAGAATATATTTGCAAATCACATTCCTGAAAAGGGTCTAGACGCTGAAGTAGAAAAAGAATTATTATAAATCAATAATAAAAAGATAAATAACCCAATTCAAAAATGGGCAAAGGACTCAAACAGACATTTCTCCAAAGAAGACACACAAGTGACCAATAAACAAATGAAAAGATGCTCAACATCATTAGCCGTTGGGGAAATCCAAATTGAAACCACAATGAGACAACACTTCATATACACAAGAATGGCTGTAGTCACAAAGTCAGATAATAACAAGAATGTGGAGAAACTGGAACCTCATTCACTGCTAGTGGGAATGTAAAATGGTGCACATAGGAAAATCGTTCCTAAAGAGTCACTACAGACCCATCAATTCCACTCCTGCAGGTAGATCCAAGACATATGAAAACATATGCTCACACAAAAAAATTTGTATGCAAATGTTCATAGCAGCATTATTCACAATAATCAGAAAGTGAAAACAACCAAAACATCCATCAAATGATAAATGGATAAACAAATGTGGTATGTTTATACAACGGAATATTATTCAGCCACAGAAGGCAAGCAGTTTTGATACATAGGCAGTTTTGACACATACTACAACTTGGATGAACCTTGGAAATATTATGTGGAATAATACTACAGATACAAAAAGTCATACCTTGTATGATTCAGTTAAAAGGAAAATCCACAGAGCCAGAAAGTAGATTGGTATCCGGGGAAATGAGCAGTGACTGCTAATGGGTACATGGTTTTTCTGACAATGATGAAAATGTTCTAAAATTGATGGTGGTGATGGCTGCACAACTCTGTGAATACACTAAAATGCACTGAATTATATACTTTAAATGGGTGCATTGTATGGTATGTGAATTATATTTCAACAAAGTTGTTAACAATAAACCATACAGACAGTTTCTGAAAATTGCAACTTATGTCTCTCGGGACAAACTGTGATTAAAACACATTTCAAGTGAGAAGTTTCAGCTGGAGAGGACAGCTGTCATCAGAAGTTGCAAATGTCAAAGTCATCACTGCTCTTTCATGGACTGCCCCTCACCAGCATCTCTTGGACATTAGCTACTTTATACACCAGACGAAAACTGCTAAATGCACATTTCATCATTAGGAGCCTAAGGATCCCTAGAAACTTCAAAGTCCTCCCTTTGATTTTATAGATGAGGAAACTAACCTAGAAAGGTGTGAAAACTCTACTGTCAAGAGTCACACAGCAAGCCTACACTGAAGTTGGGATTGGAACCAGTCTCCCCATCTCCCCTTTGTCTTCCTACAGATTTTCTACAGGGCTCCACGCTCTTTAAGCTGGTCTTCTGAACACAGGCAAAACTAAACTCCACAGCCTGGATATCTGATCTTGGCTGCAGGCAGGAGCTAGAAGGGGGTCAGGAGGCTGCAAGTTCTAGGAGAGAAAGGGGGACATTGTGGGGAGGAGATAGGGTTGGGTTTCGAGAAGACAGCTTAAGCCCTAGTTCCCGTAAAAGCAGGGGACGCAGCAGGGGGCATAAACTCAGAGGAATGAGCCATCCCGTGGTGTCACACGTGGTCTGGGGCCTGTGGCTATTTTTTCCTGTTACTGATGCGGTTGGAGGGTGAACTCACAAGAACGGCCCCCCACTTACCGAGCTATCTCCACCTCAGACAACTATGATGTTGCCCCCCACCCCCAGAAGTTGCTCTGTGAGTCACTCAACCCATGGAAACCTCAGGTAATGACAGAAGCTGGAGAAGACCCCAGGCCCCTGGTCCCACCCACATCGCTCTCCCCAGCAGGGTCACACAGCCGTCCACCCATCCACGCCATGGGTACTATACCAGACCAGGGCTAGCGCGGAGGCCGGAGACCAGCGAGGCCACTGGTTCTCCTCACAGACAGGAGCAGGAGACGCTGTCCTGGCACATGTGTTTGAGGTCCAGAACCTGGCCCTGGGGCTGGGCTTCAGGTGTGGGCAGGAAGTGGGCAAAGAGGTCTGAACAAGAATTTATTTTCTCCCCACTGCCCCAGGAAGAAGGAATGGTCACATGCTTTAATATTCACGGAGGGCCAGGCCCTGGTCTGAGCACTTCACACATAGTAACCCTTCAAATCTTCATAACCCATGGGGTCTACACTAAGAGTACCCCCATTTTGGGATGAGGAAACTGAGACACAGAGAGGCTAAAGACACTGAGCAGGCTGCACAGCTACCGGGCAACTGAGCTGGCCCAAGCCGAGGTGGCCTGGTTCCCAAGCTCCTACTTTATACTGCCTCTTACAGCTCACACATGCGATGCTGCGGGGAGAAGCAGGGAAACTGTTCCTGCTGGCCTGTCATCAACTCCAGAGTTGAATCTCAAAGCTCTCAGACCCCTGTGCTCTTGCTCCACCCACGAAACCCCACCTGTTTGCCCCCCGGTCCCCATGCCCCAGGTAGCGCTGCTTGGCAGATGAGCCTCTGGCCTTCACCGCTCGTTTCCTGAGGGCTGTCAGCAGGCCGGATGAGGAGGTGAGGACAGGGTGGGTGCCGGTGGGCGGGGGGGAGAGCACAGGGGACCCGTGACTAGAGCTGGTGGCGGGGCGGGGCAGGAAGCAGAAATGATGTGAGCTGTGGCCTGGGTGATGAGCTGTGTGGTGAGACTGCCTGGGGGGCTGCACCACCATTTCAGGAGCTGTCCGTGGGGAGAGAAGGTGTCTGCATAGGAGCATCTCAGCACAGGACTCCAGGTAGGGAGGAAGCAGGGGGCCAGGGAGGCTGGGAGCCCCTGGGTGGGGACAGAGGGGCACAAGAGCCTGTAGCAGGAAGTGCTGTGACCCATAGACAAGAGGCCTGTGTCTAGACCGCGCTCGACCACTGACTCACTAGGCAGCCTCACGCCCTCCCAGGGCTTCAGTTTTCTGTTATACAAAATGAAGAGGTTAGAGTACGTTTTTAAGGCCCCTTCAAATGCTTGTTAAAACTAAAAAAGCCCAGAAACAGGGTCCCTGGGAGATAATATGACGAGGGTCAGGGTTGAAATGAGTAATAATTTTTTTTTTTGGCCACATCACACAATATGTGGGATTTTAGCTCCCCAGCCAGGGATGGACCCCTGCCGTGGAAGCACAGAGCTTTATCTGCCGAACCACTGGGAAGGTCCCAAGACTCAGTTTTTTGAAGTTACAAACCATGCTGGCTCCCTAAGTGAGATGATCTGAGGGCATTCCAAAAACTCCCCTTCTTCTGTTTACCTCCCCGGAGCCTGCTGTGTTGCCTGGAATTTTGCCACTCCTTTGGGGAAGGCATGGGAGGCTCCAAGCTAGAATGCAGGGCAGATTCCTGCCCTCCATAATCCCCTGGGCCTCCGACAAGCTGCTGTCCCTGGTAGGTGCTAGAGGGGAGCAGCCTCTGAGGAGCTCAGTTTGGACAGGGATAGAGTGGAGATTCCAGTTCATAGCAGCCCCAGTGAGGCTCCTGAGCCACCTCCAATTGAGGAAGAACCTTTTAGCTAAGCATTTAGTGATAGGCAACTCAAAGATATGAGCAGAATTCTGCAGAGAGGGGCAGGGAAGGCCAAAGACGAGACGAGCATCAGGAGGAGAGCAAACTGAATGACTCCTCCCCACACTGGATCTAGGGACGCAAGTGCTCAGGCAGCTTTTATCCTAGAATTCAGGCTGATGTTCTTCCATGAGCTCAGAGAGAGGCCCCCACTGCGCAACAGGGAGGAAGATGGTGATGTGCAACCTCATTTCTTTCCCAATACTGCTGAGGGCTTAATGGGTGAGTGGGGCAAGGGGCAGTGAGAAAGGTTGGGTGGGTAAAGAAAGCATGGCTTGTTCTTGAATCCAAAATGATCCCTCTCCAGAATCCAGGCTTCCCTAGACTCCCCAGATTCCTCCTCAAATCTGCTCCAACTACTCTGCCCCTTTCCTCTGCACGCAAAACCCCTTTCCACCAACAGTAGCTGCAATCCTAGGGACAAAACCATCCATCTGGATTCCTATTTGAAATCCTAGTAAGGGTCTCCGCCTGGCTGTGTGACCTTGGGCAAGTCCCTTCCCCTCTCTGGGTCCAGCTGGACAATGCAGGGGGTGGACCAGACTTGTAAAGGCCATACCAGCTCTGACATTCAGTGACTTGAGAGATGTATCTCCATCCCTCTCTACTGCCTATGTCCTGATAACCTACAGTTGGAGGAAGCATTGGCCACCCTCCATGCCCCTGCCCACAGCTTCTGGGAGACCAAATGCCCCCTGTCTCCACAGCTCCATGGCCGCCCTAGGGCTCCTCCTTGGCATCCTCCTGCTTCTGCCCACGCCCGCCCCTGCCCCCTGCTACACGGCCGCGCGCTCTGAATGCCAGCGCGCCCACAAGTTTGTGCCAGGCTCCTGGCTGGCAGGGGAGGGCGTGGACGTGACCACCCTCCAGCGCTCAGGCTCGTTCCCAGTGGACACACAGCACTTCCTGCGGCCCGACGGCACTTGCACCCTCTGCCGCAATGCCCTGCAGAAGGATGTCCCCCAGCGCCTGCCCCTGGCGATCACTGGCTGGCGTGCCCACGGAGCGGGCTGCAAGCGCAAGGTAGTCAAGTATGAGGGCCGCTCCACCGAGGATGTGGCGGGGGAGGCGGCCAACAGCATCCGCAATGACTGGAAGGTGGGGCTAGACGTGTCTCCCAAGACAAGCACTAATGTGCGTGTGACCGTGGCGGGCTCCCACTCCCAGGCTGCCAACTTCGCCGCCCATAAGATTCACCAGGACAAGTACCGCTTCAGCCTGGACTTAGTGGAGTGTCGTTTTTACAGGTGAGCACTGGGGGTGGAGGGGACTTGAGAAAAGGCATGGGAAAGTCAGGGTGATCTGGGAGTCCTGGAGGTAAGGTGGGGACCGGAGGCTGCTTCCACCAGGAGGAGATGCCCAACCCCCTCTTTCACGGGCATCGTCACCTTCCAGTGGGCAGGAGACCCCGCTCAGTCCTCCTCTTCTCTGGGCCTGTTTCATCCACTCCAGCACTATTCATTTCTGCCTTCTTAGGCTCTGTGCTGGGAATTAGGACTACAAGTTGAACAAAAGTAGACATGCCCCAAGTCCTCAGGGACCTCGTCACCCTGAGAAATGCATGTCTCCATGGGACCTAGAGTCACTGACCCTGATTTCTCTCATGGAAGGCCATGTTTCCCACACAGTGAGAGAGGGCACCTCCTGACTGCATGGCCAGAGCTGTCAGGAGCCTGGGCACACAGGACCCAGTCCAAGAGAAAGACAGACAAAGTCCACAGGACTAGGTTCCAAAGCCAGAAGGTTACCTACAGTAAGGTATCATTGCTTTTAAAATTAGAAAATAAAGAGAAAAAACAAACTTTTCTGAGTAAGAAAAACAGAAATACCTATACAAACTATCTAGGTTACCAAAGAGCAGTGGGCAGAGTGGGTTTCCCTGCGGGATTGGTGATTCAGAGTTTGGGCTTTGGAGCCAGGCCACCTGGGTTCAAGTCCTAGCTCTGACACTTAATACGACCTTGGGCAATCTCAAGGGGGTTACTGAAAGGGGCCCACCACTGGGCTCACCTGCTGTTTTCCTCACCTCTCAGTTTCCACCTGGTGCACACTCCCCCAGTACACCCTGAGTTCAAGAGGGCCCTCAAGACACTGCCCCCCCACTTCAACACCTCCACCGAGCCCGACTACCGGAGGCTTATCTCCAGCTACGGAACCCACTTCATCCGGTCCATGGAGCTGGGCGGCCGCACCTCAGCCCTCACTGCCCTACGCACCTGTGAGCTGGCCCTGGAGGGGCTCACGGCCAACGAGGTCGAGGACTGCCTGGCTGTCGAGGCTGAGGTCAGCATAAGCAGCCACGCCAGTGCCTCGTCATCATTCAAGGAATGTGAGGAGAAGAAGAAGCAGCACAAGTTGGGGACCTCCTTCCACCAGGCCTACCGGGAACGTCATTCCAGTGTTGATGGTGGCCACCACTCAACCATGCATGACCTGCTCTTCGGGAACCAGGCTGGGCCCGAGAAGTTCTCAGCCTGGGTGGCCTCATTGCAGGACAGCCCTGGCCTGGTGGACTACACGCTGGAGCCTCTGCACATGCTTGTGGAGAGCCAGAACCCACGGCGGGAGGCCCTCAGGCAGGCCGTGAGCAAGTACGTGACTGACAGGGCACGCTGGAGGGACTGCAACCGCCCGTGCCCCCCGGGGGAGCACAAGAACCCAAAGAACCCATGCCAGTGCATGTGCCCTGGTTCAGCAGCCACCACCCAGGACTGCTGTCCCCGGCAGAGGGGCCTGGCCCACCTGCAGGTCATGAACTTCAAGGCATCAGGTCTGTGGGGAGACTGGATCACTGCCACGGACGCCTATCTGAAGGTCTTCTTCGGCGGCCAGGAACGGAGGACCACCACAGTATGGAACAATAACAACCCCATGTGGATGACGCGGCTGGACTTCGGGGATGTGCTCCTGGCCACTGGGGGCCCCCTGAGGGTGCAGGTCTGGGACGCAGACAATGGCTGGGACGATGACCTGCTCGGCACATGTGACCGCACCCCAAAGTCTGGCTCACATGAGGTGTCGTGCCCTATGAACCACGGTCACCTGAAATTCTCCTACCAGGCCAAATGCTTGCCTCACCTGACAGGGGAGAGGTGCCTGCAGTATGCCCCCCAAGGGCTTCTGGGGGACCCTCCAGGAAACCGGAGTGGGCCAGTGTGGTGAGAAGCGGGTCCTGAGAGGACCAGTGTGCAAACTGGAAAGGTTCCATGCAGGAACCTGTATCTCCATTTCTCCATTAGACAGATAGAAAACTGAGACTTTCTTTTTTTTTTCCCAATGAGGTGGCTGAATTTACAGGCCAGCCCTCAGGCCTGTCCAAACTGCCTTAGCTCTTCAGTATTCTCAAGCCCAGGAAAGGAGGTAGAGCTGAGTTAGGCCCTACGGCCACTGCTACACTTCCCTACAGGTCAGGAACAGGGCAGAAAGCCAGGAGGCTGTTCCCCGCCAGCCTGCCTGGTGTCATTTGCACCATTCCCTTGCAGCCCCTCTTCTAGCGTGGTGAATTCTTCATCATATTAGAGCTAACCTCTTTGGCCCCAGCTGCTCCATTTACTCTGTTTTCTTGGCCCACCGAGCTTTGCCTCTTAGCCAAAATCCAAGTCTGTCTTGACTCGTCTCGTTGTGTACACAGTCTGACCAATAAAGGTGATGTGATGGTGACCATGATGGTGGTGGTGGTAGCAGAGGGAAGGACAGAGACCAGACACAGCCTTGGAGATGAATTTCGACCTTAGCAACCCGACCCAACAGAACAGGTGGTTGACCCCAGGGGCAGGCAAGTAATATAACTGTTTTCCAATTTTGTTGGAAACGGGGAGGACCCAAAATATCTGTCTCCTCATAACTCTCTGATTCGAGAAAGAGTAGCATAAACAGTAATAAACACAAGTGGATGTTCGGCTCTAGCAGGGAGATAAGAGGGAATGGTGAAGACTAGAATGAGCTGAAGGGCATGTCTTATCCAGGGTCAGGGGAGGGGAGGGGCATCTCTGCAACAACCAAAGGTTCCCAGGCAGGAATGTGAGCCTGGTGATGCCAAGTTTTCTAATTCCTTAAAGTAACCAGAAATCCCAGCTTGACTTCTAAGTGTTGGCAATTCACTTCACTTTGTAAAAATAAACCAACATGGGCAAGCACAGTACAAGCCAGGGGACATGTACGCAGGTCATGATTGTTCCAGAGCAATCATTTGAAAATTCTAATTTCAGAACCTGGCTGACTTAACAGCTCTCTGCGTCCTACAATTCTAGGGGAGAAGGCAGTGGTTTCAAGGGCTCCTGGCCTTGGCATGAAGAAACCTTCAGAGCCTCAGGCTGTGATGTAACATGACCTGGTCTTAGTTTCATATGCCTGAAATACAGGCCTCAGAACACAGGCCCAATGGGGTGGGCGGCCTCCTAGACCTGGTAGGATTTGGCTGTGCAGGGCCGCTATCAGTGGGGATCAGAGTTGCTGGCACAGGCCTCCTGGATCTCTTTGAAACTCCCTACAAATTAAGCCCTTTGAGGTCTGTGAATCCACAGGCTCAAAAGCCCAGCAGTGACATTACACTGGCCCTGAAACCCCAAGTGGGGCAGGGGGATTGGCAAGCTCTAGAAGCCTGGTTGAAACTGCTGTTCTTACACCTTTCCCTTCACAACCACACACACACACACACACACACACACACACACACAAGAGCACAAGAGAAATCATGCAGCTTCACTCTGGCTGCTGTAGCTGTTGAAAATAAACATGGCCATGGGCCATACCCTTGAAGAGAGTGGGGCCAGGGCAGGTCTGGCTCCGGAAACAGCTCTGACCAGAGATTGGCAGTCTGGGTCTAGGCCCCACGTGGTCAGTGCCCTCCAGAAAGTCCCCCTGAGCCTTGGTTTCCCTGAAAGGACGATCTGCGTTTTACTCGCCTCCCAGAACTGTTTGGAAGGGGGTCGTGAGCCTTCCCAGAGGGTCAGTGCTACAGAAGCGATCCTGGGAGGTCATCTGATTAACCCTCCTGGTTTTGCATTTAAGGAAACGGAGGCTCAGAAGAAGCGTCTGGGCCGGGGCTGCAGATGTCAGTGGCCAAGCCAGGCCTCTGTGAGTCGTGGGCACTCCACTTGGAGTACAGCTCTGGAGAAACCAGCGGGACTCGGACAGGAGGGCCCACAGGGAAAGGGGTGGTGTTACCAAGGAAAAGGAATGGTTGATGCTGTTGCGGGGCAGCCAAGAAGCCCTCAGCTCCAATGCAACACTTTAGTTGACATTCCACTGACACTTTGTCACACTTGGGGCCCCTCGCTTGTTCAGGAAATTCCTTGCTGTGCCTGATGTCTCCCATCCGCCCTCCACATCTCATCCTCACCCTGCTCCATCCTGCTCTGGCCCGGAGGCTGGCCTATCTGAGCCTGTCAGTGGGCAGGAAATGGGAGGGAGCGAGGTCTCAGAGACAAATGAGGTGGCCTTGGGCTAACTGTCTCTATGTCACCACTCCTCTCTGGGAGGTCTCTGCATGTCTCCTTCTGTGTTCCAGACATTGGTCCCTCCCCTCATCCCTTCAGACCTAGGGATGGTGACTGCTCCACCACTACCAATCGAGTTATTACACTGTCCCTTCGGCTTCTCGACAGCCCCCTACACCTTTGTCAAGAGGCCCTTTATAAATACACATGCACATGCTTAGTTGCTTCAGTCATGTCCGACTGCGTGACCCTATGGACTGTAGCCCACCAGGCTCCTCAGTCCACGGGATTCTCCAGGCAAGAATACTGGAGTGGGTTGACATGCCCTCCTTCAGGGGATCTTCCCGACCCAGGGATCGAATCCTTGTCTCACACGCTTCTGCATTGGCAGGCAGGTTCTTTTTACCACTAGGGATACCTGGGAAGACCCCTTTATAAACCCTCCTCAAATTATAATTTGAATATGCCCAGGATATGGTCTAAATGTTTATGTCTCCCCACAAATCATGTATTGAAATAGCAATCCTCATGGTGATGATATTAGAAGGTGGGGCCTTTGGAGGCAATTAGTCATGAGGGTGGAGCCCTCTTAATGTGGGTTAGTGCCCTTATAAAAGAGGCCCCAGAAAGATCCCTGGCCCCTTCACCTATGTGAGGACACAGTGAGAGAATACCTTCTATGAACCAGAAAGCAAGCCCACTGAATCTGCTAGCACCTTGATCTTGGACTTCCAGAACTGTGAAAAATAAATTTCTGTTGTTTATAAGCCACCTGCTTGTGGTATTTTGTTATAGCAGCCAGAACAGACTAGGACAGCTTCCTATAGGGGTGCTGATGACATACCAGTGACTCTGGTAGGAAGAAGGACCACTTCACCCCAGAAGCTGAAAATGCCCTATTCTTTCTTCTCTAACCTCCCCTGCAACTAGGAGAAGACATGTGACTGGTTTACCAGTTGGATGCAACTGGCTCTGGTATGGGATTCCTACAGAAACTGATGCTGAGACCAGGCAATTACATGAGCAGTGACCCCAGGGAGCCCAGTAGGGGAGAGGGTAGTAGGCCAGGGGAGGGATGGTGGCCATAAAAGAGGCATGATCCAGCAAGTTACTATGTGGGCAACCAGAGCCAACGAAGAGTTATCCCGGCTGGGAGGGAGGGAGCTGGGCTATCCGTACATCACCTCCCACCCATCACTGGTTAGGGCTGAATTATTTCCCTACTTATTTCATCCAGACTTGGCTTCTATTTCTGGCAACTAAAAACCCTGGTGATGACACCATTCCATCTTCTCCCTTGCTGCTTCAACACGCCACCCTCTTTCCCAGCCCTCCTCCCACTCCACTCTGGTAGGCCCTTGTCCTTAGAGCCACACTGCTCCCAACACTCCCTTCCCCAGGGCATGGGGCACAGAAGAGCAGGGACTATTCACAGATTCCAGCATTCACCCACGGTTGCTGAGCACTTTCTGTCAACCGGGTCCTAGGGCCAGTGAACAAGCCATGCGGAGCGTCTGTCTTCTCGTGGCCTGTGTCTGATGGGGAGATGATGCGAGCATGGAAGTGATTCGTGGAGCAGGGCGGCACTCTGCTGGTGGCACTGGAGGCCTTCCCCCCTGTCCCCGCCACCTGGGCCCAAGTGATCTCTTCCACGACTCGGGGCTCGGGTTGACAACAGCCGAGGTCTTGTTTTCTAAGCAGTTACCACAGCACACTGATCTCCCTGCAGACACACTTCGTGGTCTCTGAGGTGTGGCCCCAGTTGGTGCGGCGACTGTGTCAGCATCTCTGACACGTGTGAGCAGGGGAGGATCTGCTGGAGAGCAGCCACGTGGGGGGTGGAGAGAGGCCAAGCGGAGGCACAAGGGCCCCTTGCAGCTGAGAGGCTGTGAACCCTCTCTCCAGGGGTCATTCCCCCACATCTGTCACCAGAGTCAGCCAACTCAGCCTCCTGACATGCGCCCCCTTCTGCTCACAGTCACAGCCTCTCCAGCCCAGGCCATCCACATCTCTTGCCTGGACAAGTCTTCCTGTGACCTTCTCACTGATCTCCAGGCTCCTGTCTACCCCTCACTGTCCCTCCAGCCGACAGCCACAGTGGTGCCCGCACCCTGTCGGATCCCCCGAGCCCCGCTGCAGGCTGGCCCTGCCTCTCTGCCTGAGGGCTCCAGGGGGAGGCCAGAAGTGCTGGGGAATCATGCCTTGCCCCACTCAGCCCAGAACAGCTCTCAACCAATGCCTGATGGGAGGTGGTATATAAATAACCCAGCTCCCTCCATCTCAGGGCTGGAGTGGAGGTAGGGATAACTCCAAGGAGTATACTCAAATTCAGTGACTCCCAGAGTTTCCCAACAGGGTTAAGCTCCAGTATCCACAATGGTGACCTGCTTGGCTGTCTCCCTTCCCTGGCTCAATTCTCCACTCCCCTATGGGGCATTTTCTGGGATCACTTCCTACACAAACAGCTCATGGCAAATCCCTGTCTCAAGGTTTGTCTCTGGGGAAACCCAGCTAAGCAAACCACACTACTGCCTCACTTAAAACTCTTCATTGGTTCCTTGTGGCTCTTGGGATAAAGTTCAAAGCCCCTAGTGTGACCCACATTCTGCCCTGATCAACTCTGCCCCTACCCCGTCCCCCACCAAGCCCTTCCTCACTGAGCAAGTTGATCCTTCGGATGGCTACACTGTCTCCAGCCCTTCATGGGCGCTGCCTCCTCTTTCTGGATTTTTACCCTACACCCAGATTAAGTCCTCCTCAGCCTCGGGCTTCAGCTTTCAAAGGTGGCTTCCTCCAGGAAGCCTTGCTTGCAGGAAGCCTGGCTTGCAGGTCTGGGTCATGGCCCCCCATACCTTGCTCCCATAGACCTCATTATCTCCCCATCACAGCACTGTGAGGCCAAGGGCCATTTCTATCTCATTCACAGTTGAATCAATTTGTCTGGCACCTGACATCAGTTTGAAGCTTGAAAAACATTGGATGATCAGATGAATGAATAAATTCTACCAAAGAATCTTCTAGCCTCACTTGAATTCTCCCAGAGATAGAACTCATTACCTCCAGAAGAAGTTGTTCTACATATGGAAAGTTCTAACCATGAACCATCATGTGACACAGAAGCCTGCCCCTTTATAAAGTCCTGCCGTGGTCATGGATCAGGGATGCTGTGTCTAAGTATACAGTCCCATCTCTCACTTGGTTGGGCAGAAGGACCACTAAGCTGACTCCAGTCCAGGCAATGGCTGTCCCTCACCCCTCTTTGTATGAAGGAGCCACAGAAGGGCCACACACTGCCCAGGTCAAGGTGCACAGAGGACTGGGTCAGTCATCCTCCTCTCTGATACCGACAGTGAAAGCAAGAACCTTTCGTGGAAGGTGAGGGATGGGTCTCGATTGTTAGCTACCCAGACCTTTTATTTCTCATCAGGCTCAGTCACCAACAGAGAAAGTCCCAGTTGGGGCAGCACTTTCTCTGGGCACAGCTGGTACCCACTTGGTCTAGGCAAGCTGTGATCCCAGAAGGGCCAGGCCCACCACCTTAATCTGCTCATGGAGTTCTCCTTCCCCCATCCGCCCCTGCCTAAAGAGGTCCTGTCCAGCCAAGACTCCCACAGCCCAGGCAGCCACAGACACAGACAGGGGCAGAGTGGGCATCTGCCTGGCTTCTCACTGTTAGGGAGGGGGTGACAGGGTGGCGGGTGGGTGTGGCACAGATGAGGCCAGGGTCACCGGTGAGATTCTCACGGGGTGATGAGGGTTAGTGTTGCACAGAAAGAGACCAACCTCCATCACAGACAGGATCCTCAAGAGCAGCCAAGGACTGACAGCCAATCCAGGCGGCAGTGAGATGACTCCAGTCACAGGTTCACCCCAGACCGGCCGTAGAGACTCAACCATATGAACCTTCGCTTTGAGCCAACACTGAGCCCCAACCCCAACTAGTTCTCTTTTGTACCTCATAATCACGTAAAACTCCTTTCAGGCCCCCAGGTCCCAACTGTAGAACAAGGTGCTAGAACAATGATTTCTGTGTGGTTTTCCAGCTAGGAGGGACTTGACCCTAAGTCCTCAAGTTGGCTGGTCCCTGGCACTCAGTTGGTGTGGCTGAAGAATCCGACAGCCCTGTTACCCCAAATCTGCTGGGTGGGCAACCCCCACAAGCACCACCCCCGCTCCGCCGGCCGATTCTCAGAAGTACTGTTCCACAGGGCTTCTCTTCACAAAGCCAGATTTGCAACCCTGGCTGGCCAAACCAGAACAGCTGCTATTGTTTTGCAGGCTATAATGGCAATCTGTTTACTGCAGGGCTTGACTGCACATCTGGAGCTCACAGTTAATCTCCACAATAGCCGGTTCCCTGTTTCTTCTTAAGAGGCCCATGACGTCAGCTTACTGGCAGGACACTGACTTTCCCCTGGGAGACCCAAACTCCCCATGAGACCCACTGCCATGAAAGAAGGCTGGCCCCCCAGGGAAACATATTTGTCTCCCTCTCCTCTCTATTCAGAGGAATCACCACCTGGTAGACGGGGGACCTTCCCCCAAGGTCCCGCCTCCATGGAGGCCGTCACTAAGGATGTCACTCCCACCTCTGCCGATCCTTCTCCCATGGGAATGTGGGGCTTCATGAAACTTCATTTTGTGAGGCATTTTTTCAAGTTGCAGTAATTGAGAGACCCCCTACTGCCTCTCCTTGCCTCTACACTACCCTTATTTTTCTCTTACTAACACTACAAGTAAGATACTAATAAGTGCTTGAGTGCTTATGGTAGAATTTTGATGGCTATACGTGCATTAGCACATTTAATCTTCCCAGCAGCCCTACGAAATGGATGTATTCATCCCTGTTTTATAAATGAGGTCTCCCAGAAAGCTGAGGAGCACACATCTCTGGCTGTCCCACTGTATGACTCCTGAGATGTCCAGAGTGTATTCTGTACCATCTCCCCTAACATCTTGTCCTCATAGTCTTCCCAACCATCACCACACAAAGCCCTCATGTGAAGAAGACTCACTTTAGGGGGATGCTCTCAGGAAGAGCAATTCCCTGATGCCACTGACCATTCACTTTTTTTTAATTTAATATGATAAGACAACATACAGAGCACAGTAGGGCTTCCCTGGTAGCTCAGACAGTAAAGAAGCTGCCTACAATATAGGAGACCCGGATTCTATCCCTGGGTTGGGAAGATCTCCTGAAGAAGGAAGTGGCAACCCACTGCAGTATTCTTGCCTGGAGAATCCCCTGGACAGAGAAGCCTGGTGGGCTATAGTCCATGGGGTCCCAAAGAGTCGGACATGACTGAGCAACTAAGCACGCACATACAGAGCATAATATTTATCATTTTAACCATCTGAAAGCATACAGTTCAGTAGCATTAATTACATTCTCAATGTCGTGTAAGCATCACC